TTGTACTTGCTCCTTTGGTGTCGATATCAAAAACCAACACCAATAATTAAAAATAAAAAAACAAAAATATAACAAATTTTGTTAAATAAATGTTGTTGCTTTCAATTTAAATTTCAATTTCGTTTCATTTTGATTTCTTTCCGTATTTATGCGCTCGTTAAAATTTTTGAAAAAAAAAAAAAACCAAACTAAATTTTTATTCAATGTGCCTGCTGCGTTTGTTACTCGTTACAAAAAACTGTTGCGTAATGTGTAACTTTGTTGCATTTACATCTTTATATATGTCACAATATATATATTATGACGCTCATATGGCCTGATTTTCGTACTCGGAATTAACTTTCTTTACCACTTCCGTTTCCGTTTCCATTTGCGTTTCCGTTTACATTTCCGTTCTCGTTCTCGTTTCTGACATTTTTCGGTAACTTTCGCTTGATTTGCATTATTGGCCAAACTTCTTTTTAATGCTATGGCTTTTACAATTTGATTTTCACACATGCCACTCTTCCATTTTGCTGCCTCTTTTGATAAAAAAAAAAAAAAAAAAAAAAAAAAAAAAATTGAATACAAAAAAAAAAAAACAAAAACTAAAATAACAGAGCATCTAGATCGCAAGCTGTTCGTTGGCATGCTCAGCAAACAACAAACCGAAGATGATGTTAGACAAATATTTCATCCATTTGGCACTATAGAGGAGTGCACCATATTGCGTGGCCCGGACGGTGCTAGTAAAGGTAAGTACGCCCCCAAAACTTTTATTCAGTAACAGTATGTACTTAAATCAAGTTATTCAAATATTGCGTATACGTAACGTGTTGAGCTCGTTATTTGTTGTTTGCCAGTTTTCATTGTGTTGACGTTTTAAATAGTTTCCTATTTTATATATGTAGTGCTAAACGAATCTATAATGCTATAAACATGACTCCGGTAATTGCAAATAAGTAAGTTTTGCTAATGCAGGCGTAAGGGTACAAGAAATGCACATGGACCTTACTTGAGTTATTTGACATGTTTAATCTATAAGAGAATCAAATAAAATGCTGTTTAATAAATGTCGAGAGAGCTTCAAAGAAATTTCACCAATAATTTGCGATGCGCTCAAAAGTATGCTACAATTTTTGCAAGACAGCTTAGACAAAGGCTGACTGCTGCAGTGCTCGCAAAATACAACAATCGACAGCAAATGATGTTTCCATAAGCTGCTAATGCCAGTTATTGCATCTCTGCACCTCATACACACACACACACACAATTACACACAAACATCTGGGTTTATGGCCTGCGCCTGCTTATGCAGACAGTCAGATAAAATGCTGGCTGAATGGCCGGCCAGTTAACATTGTAGCAGCTGTGCAACGAGCCAAATAATCATCACAAGCATAACCATAACAATTATACAGCTTGGCGAGCAGGCAGCGTATTCAGAATTCAAATTCGTGGCATACATAAAATAAAAATCGGGTAAACAGTTCAATTAAAGTTGTTTGCTTTTCCACAGCGCTGCTTGCAAGCTCACACGCTGCCCATTTGCATTTATGTGAATGCTGCTGTGTGTGTTTGTGTGCATATTTACACACACAACACACACAGTCACAGCGCAGAATAAACAACAAAGAAAGTATACAAAAAAACAAAAAACCGTTAGGAAAAAAGTTGCGTTTGTTTTAATATGCAAGCAACTTTTTAACAATAACATTTCATTTTATTATGTCAAAAGTTTTGGTTTTGCGCGAGCACAGAAACACACACACACACACATGCATTTATTTTGCTTACATTTGCAACATTTGACTGCCGCTGTCGGCGTCGCTTATTGTTGTATGTTAATGTTTGTTATTGTTGTTCTTTTGTTGTCGTTTATTGTTGCCATTTTGATATGCATGAAAAGGCGCCTGGGCCAGCGCCTGTGAGCGAACAGCTGGGCAGCAAACGGTAGGCGTGGCACTTGCCAAGCGACACTTCCATGCAGCTTGTTTGCATTGAAGCATTTTACTTTACTTTTGGGCCACATTAGAATAACAACAAACAAACTGAATGCAAAAGAATAACACTAACAAAAAATACATATTCAAATCTAGCTTTTTTAAAGCCAACAATTCTTTACTCCAGGCACTTTTAAAGCTCTTGCCACCCCAGCCGCTCAACACTTTGCGTCTGATTGAAATCTGCAAATCACGTTATTATCATACAACATATTCTTGAAGGCTTATTGGCCCGCTAATCCAATCATTATCTAACAGCTAAATCAAATTTCTGTCAAATTCCCGAGGGATGAGCCAATAAATTTATGTTCAATCATATTTTTATGTAGCTCAGCCTACAAAATGGAGGAAAAGGAAGGAAAATTGCAGGGCAGACGATGACAGCACAGCTATAAGAATAATTTGTCGAACTCTATTGTTGCTGTTGTTGCTCGCCAAAGACAAGAGAAAACTTGTCGATGTCGCCCATCGACAGGGAAAAGTTCAAAGCCGCGAAAACTGTCAGTTGATGTGGTCTTGCGGTCCGTGCGCTTGGGGCTGTTGTGGCCTCTGATGGGCTCTGATGTGGTCTGATGTTGATGGCAATGCGAACATATCATTCTTCATTAAAATGCGCTTCAAAGTCAGTCGGGCAGGCAAGCAGCAGGCAGGCAGTCAGCCAACGAAGTTTTTGGCGTAGTGACAGGGCGCTAGTCTTCTGTGTAAGTGCCAAAATCCATCAACGTCAATTTTTTCTCGCTGCTGCGAATTATATTCAAAGAAAATCAAGTCAAGCCGAGGGGGGACGCCAGCGGATGGCAAATCAAATGTGTAAACGGCGCTAGCAAGTAATGAAGGCAAAGGACAAGCAAGAGTTGCCTGACTGGCTGACTGACTCACGGACTGAATGACTGACTAAAAATGTATGCAAATGATGATGCATGTGGCGGCAAATGTGGTGAATGTGGAGGTAAGAGCAGAAGCAGCAGCAGCAGCAGCAGCTCGAGAAGGGGGCGAACAACAATAACAGCTGGGCGAAGGCAGCGGGGGCTCGACGCCCTGTCTGACAGGCAACAGGAATAAGCGCAACCATCATGTTAAATTATGCAAATTCGATTTCAGTGAGTGAATGAAACGAAACGAAACGAAACGAATGAAGCGGGTCGAGAACTGACTTTGAAACTTTGCCCAGCCCCAACAAAACACAAAGCATGTGGTTGCCGAGACTAACTGACTGACTGACTAACTTGACTAACTGGCATGGGACGGGCACACACACACACACTTGCTCACATGTGCTGTGGTAATGCAAAAATTGTACAGCTTGACAATGGCTCAGGCCGAGCATGTGTCAGCCGCTGCAGCAGACACAGGCCGTGCAGACAGGCAGACAGACTAGCAGGCAGGCAGGCAAGTCGGGCTCATTTGATTAGAATATTCATGCATGCACTTCATTGTCATCAAGGCGAGCAGCTGCCGTCGTGTCATCTGCGCAATCAACACAATTGTGCAGTGCAGTGGCAGAGAAGAGGAGAGAGAAGGAGAGAGAGAGGGAGATGCAGTGTCAATCCCACCTCGACTGCACTCTTTAGGTGCCTGCAATGATGGCGGTAATCAAACTTTCTATACACGAGCAACAACATCCATCAAGTGGCAAGTGGCATGTGGCAAGCGGCAAGTGGGAGTCGTGCTGCAAAGCATTTGCATAAGTAGCAGTAGCTACGGCAGTGGCCTCGGCTATTGCTGCAGCCCTGACCGAACGAATCCTGTTGCTGACAGGCGGCTGGCATAAGTTGACGTCGCCCGTTTGTTTGTGGCCGGGCGGGCCACAGTCGGTGGCTTTGTTGCAGTCGGCATTGAGGCGGCAATTCAAACATTAAGCCTTGCCACTTGGCTCGGCCCCACCTTCAAGCTGTCATTAAGTAATTGCATCACACGCACTTACACGGATGGGCATCAAGTGGCCAAATGACGGACAGCACTGATTGAGCACTGGACTTGAGCCTAATTACAGCTTGGCACTAAGACAAATGGCTAAAGTTGCATTAAAGTTGAAAGCAATGCGAGACAGGAGAGAGTTAAAAGTAGAATCTAAAAAGAGTTGAATATAATTTTTAGTATAATAGCAAGAGTTTTTAGCGTTACGCTAATTGAAACCGTTACTAAGCAAAAAAGCATTAAACACAACTGAGCCACACTCGGCGTAGCACCTGAAGCACCTGAAAGTTGAAAGCAGCCACATAAATCAGTTGTAAATTGAATTAAAACGCTGTTTACACCCAAAATTAATTTGAAATGTCTCGCTTTGTCAAATTAAGTTTTAATTGACGCAAACTGCAAGCTGCTGAGACAGACAGAAGGCCAAAGAGACAGTGAGAGAGCGAGAGTGAGAGAGGGGGTGGTGGAAGGGGCACTGAGACAGATTCCCTAGAAGCAACTTGTGTGCAGCTGACATACAAAAACAAATTTCAATTAATACCACACACACACACACACACACATACACTCCTATCACACACAGATGACTGCAACAACAACAACAACAACAACAGCAATATAAGCGAATGCTCATCATAAAGTAGACTTGCATTTCTCATGCATTGTTTCAGCCCCTCAAAAGCATCGGCAACCCCATAAATGCGAATAATTAATGTGACATATTCGGCGTAATTGAAGCAGCTATGCAGCAAATACAACCGCATACATTCTACATACGAGTGCGCGCGCGTGTGTGTGTGTGTGGCTGCTCAAAGCATTCCCAAAACTGCACACGCATGCTGCATGGCAACTGGCTTGAAAGCGTTCCAGCTGCGCTTGAGGCCAGCTAATTGAATTTGGCGCATTGCTGCGCAGCGGAACGAACATGCGGCTCGTCGCTTTGTCAGCCAGCTCTGCCAAAAGTATGCAGCAACGATTTGTTTCGCTCGCACTGGGTACTTAAATTTATTGCCAGCAAAACGGAAAAGCAAAATTTATATAACGAGGTAGCGACCTGCGTAATTGCTCTGAGAGCTGTGCACAACAAAAGTTTCTTAATACCTGGCAGCGGCGGCAGGCACAAACGTAAACGTAAATGCAAACGCAAACGGTTTTCGCCAACTTTCCAATGACAGTTTAAGCTGTTTTTGCCGTGGCCCAAACTGAAGCCCGGCCTCGGCCTCGGCCTCGGCCTCGACCTGCTCTGGTCTGGTCTGGCTGCCACTGGCTTTCCTGATCCACTTGTTGTTTGGCCAACAATTTTTACAACTGACGGCGAGGCGGCATTGTGTCTTTCGCTTGATAGGCACACCAGCACACACACACATTTATATATCTATACTGCTTCTGCGTGAACTTCCGCTGTTGTCAACTCTGTCTCTTACATATCATCATTTCATTTCATTTCAATTTCAATTTATATGAGCAAAGTTTTATGAAGTGCATGTCATGCCTGCCAGTTGCTGGCCCGCACTTGCCTCTCTCTATATTGCTCTCTCTCTCCCTCGCTCTCTCCCTCTCTCTCTCTCTCTCTGCATTTATTAAATTTCATTTCATTTTCATGGCATAAAAACTCCGCTCATGTTTATTTTACAGCCCTCAACTACACTGAAAGTTCTAACAAGTGCTGATTGAGTGTTGAAAAACTGTCAAATAAATGTGCACAACAAAAGCAAGCGAAACGAAACGAAATTGAAAATGAAACGCAATGAAATTGAAACAAGGCCGTCGCGTTGTAAAAACCAAATTGAATTTTACGCTTATGACACGCGCTCAACTCCTGCCGGCAGGAGCCG